ATTCTGTACGGGCATCAACATTAGACGTCCTTGTTCGTCCGAGTTCAACGCAGTATTCAATGGGCAGGTTTGAGAGTTCGAATGGATTATTTCTGGCAGACATCTTCCGTTAATGGATGCTATAGGAGGTGGTGTAGACGTAGACTGAAGTTGAACAAGCAGTTGTGAGAACTTGCTGAGTGACTTCTACCTCTGGATGTATAGCGAAAGGGCATGTTATTTTTTACATACACTACTAAAAAAGAAAATCCTACTAGCGCGACACGATCGGAGTTGTGAATAAGGAGCAAAAGCTCTTCCTCTAAGCTTAGGAAAGGACATTTACGCAAAAGTGCAGAAATGCAAAAGATGTTGGATCCGGAGTCACATAAATTTGGTACAAGCACGATTTAATCCAGCAAAACAAAAAGTGTACGGACGGCGAGCAGTAATGGTCTATTTATAGTAAGCTTTTTGGGGGCTAAACTACTTCGCACTTAAGATATATTGGCATGAGTCACGAGTGACAGGTTTGGCATCATAACTCATAAGGGTATGGCAACGGCTTGCACTTTTGTTTCTGCAAATAAGGCTTTCACAACCGCAATAAATGAGCTTGCACTCCTGCAGCCGTTGCAAATTTTGCAGACTTAGAATTGCGTAAGAAGTACGCGTTACCAACATACCTAGCTCGGACGCAGAATAATAGCGTGTCTTCGCCTGTTTCTTCGAAGACCTAAATGTACGATTACAATAAACATGAACAGCAAGCGAACAGAAGCGACAAAACACATTAAATGAATTTTCCGAGGAGCTAAATGTTAACATCAATTTGGTAATCTTATCCGAGAAGTTGAGCGTCATCTGCGCAGGTTCTTAATTCTCGCTCTAACTACCTTACCCGTCGGAGTTTTTCTCCCAGTCACTTATATACGCTTTTTTTCGTTTTTTAGTCGGCATAAACTTTTATTCTTGTTATGAGTTCAGCTGCAGAAGCTCGGTTGTAACCAAAGAATCTTGGCGGAAGT